CTAGTGATTTCTTTTTACTTAGTAAAATGCCCTCAGTACTAGCATTATACGCTAAACAGTTTTTAGAGATAAAACTCTTTACATTCGATTATCATGAAAACAAATCTCAGAACGATTGACTAGGTACCAATGTTTTATTAGACCAAAGGTTCATTTTGCACCGAAATTCTCCTTTAAACCCGGAACACACAAAGCCGACGGTCAGCCGTGCGTCTAGCAGATTTTGTGCGTCGGCCAACTAAGTTTCCTCGGTGTGATACGCACGGTTCCGTGCCGTTGGCTGAAAATAGTCCTCGTCGGCTTTGTTTCGCCCGATTCGACATGTTGAATCGGCGTCGGGCCGTTGGGGAAAGTGAGAACTCTGATTGGCTGTTCAGCTTAGTGAAAGAGTCAGTGCACGAGAATAAAAGCAAAACAGCAAGCAAAGAATTCAAAACGGTAAAGATAGAAGGCTGTTCTTATGTTACGTCTTCTTACCTGAGTGTTCCTTGGCGAATATTTCAATATTAACATGAGTGGAGTAGAATAAAGAAAGTGTTTAGCAGGATTGATATTCAAAACGGCAATCACGCGCTGCTTTGTTTACGTTATGTGTATCTGCAGCTGGCAGCGTCGGTTTTCCTTTTTGAATGACGAATATAGACTAATATATCCGCAGAAATAGACAGTTGGCTCATTAAACGCAGGCGCAGAACGCACATTCTAGCTGACAGTCGGCTGCAGTTCTCTCGGTGTGTTCAAGTGGAGCTTTTTACGTCGACGAGAGCGGACGAGAGGCGACAACAAAGTCGGCTTTCACCAGCACTAGTTCGTTGGTGTCGGCTTGGTGTGTTCCGGGCTTTAAGAGTTCGATAGCAAAAAGGTGACTAAAAAAGGCTAATGTGGACACAAATCCATAAAACTTTTCAAATATTTAAAAAAGCCAAAAATTCTAATTTTCCAATAATTTAAAGTCCCTGTAAAGTCAAAATTAAGTATGTGTTCTGAGTCTGTCATACCACAGAAAAATGTGATATTAGTCACCCAGCCAAATTTGAATGATAAAAAAGACGGCAAGTACATAAAATAAGCTATCAAAATCTTGAAAAAATCAGCAGTTATCTCTGTTCTCAAACGCTGGGGGCGTGTACCCTGGCTGCGCTGAAACCACGCCCACTCGCGGGAAAGTTGTCGACGGTGATATTAGGTGAAACTGCTCTCGGAACGGGAGGATGAACGCTGAGGCGGAAGATAGTCGTTTCAGCCCCGTTCTCCAGCAGCAACGGATTATCCAACGCATTCTCATCCTTTAGCGTCATATAGAACGCTATATGACAAAACGGCGCTATACTACGCACATGGCACCAGTTACCGTTACTATAACACGTGCTGTGAGGGGTAGGTTTAGGTGTGGGGTAGGGTAGGGTAGGGTAGTCTCATATTACGCTAAAGGATTTATGACGCCTTGTGTTCGCGTGAATATTAGCGATAAAGGGTGCCATGTGCGTAGTATCGCGCCGTTTTGTCATATAGCGTTCTATGTGACTCTAAAGGATGAGAACGGGCTGGATTATCAGTGAATGCCAGTTGTCTCTGAGGAAAGTTTATAAAACGATCCTGTGTAAAATGATCACTAAAGAGGCGGGTGTTTGGTGGTGGCATCAAGGTTGGCTCTACACAAAATTAATCCACCTCTTCTCGCTTTTAGGAAATTTAAATAAAGACACCGATCTGTTTTGTACATGATCGCATCCAGGTAGTAGCCTATGCATTTCCTTGTCAAAGGCATAGCAAGCTAGCAAACTGTAGACTGTAGTAACTAATAGTACTGAGTTGACAGTAACTCGTTATTGAGCGGCGAATGCAAATGTGCTCTATATTGTTAGGGGAGAGACCATCCCCTGTCTATGGATCAGCCAACGTGCATAATCAAGTTGGGGCGTGTCCACGAGCTCTCTGGCTCCAGTGCGTCATCGAGCCCTGTTTTAGCCCCGCCCAAAAAATCCATAAAATAGCAAGGGTGAAAAACTGTTTAACGCTCTAACTCCGTATTTCAGTACTTCACAGTTCACAGTCTTTGTAATATGTTTTAGCAATACATTTCTAACATTTATAATGTGTTTAGAATTTTTTTTGTTGAATTACCTTTAAAGGGACTTTAATGTCAATTTGTCAACGTACCTATTAAGGTGAATATTTGGTCTATGCGTTGCATACAGTAAGTATGGGTGAAGAGTTAAATGTGATGGTAACGCTGTACTGACCAATCAGCTTTCAGGACGAGACCAGTTTTGTGTCTTAGTGAGAGAGGTGATAAAACGTCTATGAGAGAAAACAAAGACTAGATCACAATCACAAATCAACACTTGATTCAGTTATCTGAAGATCAGTCAACAATATCATTGCTTTCACGGTGCCAGCACTGAGAACAGACAACTGTTTAACCAGGGAATCTATCGGAAGATTGACAGCACTAACAAGTGTGAGAAAGAAGCCACATTTCCACACACGTCACATCAAAGAGCAGAACAAGCATGACACCATTGAATCTGACTTGCTGAACTTGAGTCACCCTCACCGATGACCCCTTTTATGGCTTATGAGGAGCTTCGATCATGAATGCCTCCGATTTTGCAGCGCATGGTTAATGGTGACATTTGGCTGTCGGGGTGCTCTGAGTGAGAGCGTCCCGCACACACAGTGGCCTGCGGCTGGGACTCTAACAATGGCCGGGGCCCACAGTGGACACACACACTTCCAGCTGTGGCTGACCATCCTGGCCTCTTCTCCGGCTCCCATGAAATTGGAAATTATCAGGGCCGTTTCTGGTGACAAATCATTGTCTGTGTGTTCCTGCCACTTTCCAAGGAATAGAACAGACCGAAGGAGGGAAGAAACTCTTTTTGATGGGACTTGAAGGCTGACCTCGTCACCTTCGTACTTCAAATCTCTGACCCCACAGAGATGGACTCAAATTGTGGCCTGAGGTTGACTCTTTTAAAGTGCTGCATTGATCTTTAACCGTTCCCACATTTCCTGCAGAAGCATCTTCAATATACGAAAGGGAATGCTTCCTCAATCTACCCATCTATTGACTAGAGCTATCGACCATAGTCTATATACATGAATTAACTAAATGAGTAACTTTTTTACAACAAAAATGTACCATCACTGAACTTCCTTAATCTGGACTATGACACTATTTTCTTCTAGATCTGCTGTACGGTCGAAACAAACTTTGTTGCATTGTTTTTCATTATTGTCACTGTAAAGCTGCCTTGAAACAATCTGTATTGTAAAAAAAAAAAAAAAAAGCTGACTTTACTTGATATAGTCAGGTTAGATGCCATATTGGATTTCACACACCCAAAAACATGCTGTGAGAGACAGACTTAAGTCTGCAATAAATATTGATGTGACGTTATATTGAACAAAATCAGGCAAAATAAGTTAATTTCTGGAGTTTGAAAAAGCTTTCCAAAGTGAATTGACTGGAGAATTTCTCAGAATCAGATGCTCTCTATCTGTTTTCATTTGTTAATTTTTGTTACTGAGAGGAAAGCATGCATGAAATACCCACACATTCATCTAAACACCACTCTCAGAAAAGTGGATGGAATCGGGATGTTGCTGACAAGTGTTTTGCTGCAAAGGTATTTCAAACTCTTTTTTTTTTATCCCCAAGCAAAGAACAAAAACCTGAGTTGAGAACTGCACTGACACTGTGCATCAGGGCATTTACAGACGCTACAATATCATGTATAAAAGTCACATATTTACACAATTTTCACAACTTATAACTTTCAAAATTGTTGTATGGAGTTTTTGTTTACTGAAAGTTTTTCAGAAAGATATATCATCAGTAGAACTTACAATCCAATGAACAACCTGTACTTCTGTAACTCATTCCTGGCTCCAAAATGACATGGCACTATACCCTGGTCTCTGACGAAGGTTTATTCCCTCAAGGCTTGTGAATGGGATGTGTATGGTAAACCCAAGGAATCTCCACTGACCTGCAGCTGAACTCTTTACCCACAGCATCTTTACAAACTCATAGTATGACCAAGGAAGAAGGCAGTATTTGTTTATAAATATAATCTTTCCTTTAAAGCAATCACTGCTTGGCTAAAGGCTGAGGAAGTGAGTTGGGCTCAAGGATGAGGAAAACAAAAAGATGAAGGGAAAACAGCAACTGCCAGTTATGTTGCCAGAGGGCCTGATCTCAACATCAAACCTCTCACAAGAAATAGGCTGCTGTTTTTGAATGTTGGTTTCGAAAAAACCCTCATTGAAATTTCAATTGAAGTTTAGTTTGGATTCCAGCAAACTAAAGTTACATTGGCTAGCATAACATTTTTTTTTTTTTTTTGCGCAGTAAAATCTAATGAAACAGAAATCCACAGTAGCATATATGTGCTCCCAGGACAAGTATATTTTTCATAAATTTCAAATTGGGTAAGATGAGACATTTCTTAAGTTTTATACAATGGCAATGATGCAACATTTTTTTGAAAATAACAATTGTTATAGGCATTTCTTCTAACTAATCTTTAACAAATTTGCTAATACGCATTTGACTATAATTTTCCATTAATAGGTTGTTAATGGCTTTATTGACAACACGCCCCATTCTACCATCTGTTTCTTTGTACTGGTCGAGTAACGTTAAATTGTGACAACTACAGTAGTTTCGATCGCTCTTATTTATGTGCCATGGAATACATTCGGTACTTGCAGAGAACCATGGTTTTACCCTACATAGCCTATGGTTTTACCAGGGCATAGCCTAATATAAACACACAATTATGACACTTTGTGGCATTTTCAATGTCAGTCAACTAAAAATCTTACATACGCTGATAGATATATAGCCTAACCTAAAATATATAGCTTATCAAATGTGGTCAAACTCTTCCGTTCAATATGAATGATTCATGCGAGATACCGTAGTTAATTAGGCTAGTTAACAGAAACCGTAGAGCAAAAAAACAACAATAGCATACCGTAAAAGAAAATACCTTATTCGAAGACTTGCGACTTGACTGAATCTATAAGCGCCACAAGAAGATTAAAAATCACACAAGGAAATGGTTTGAAGCAACTAGTCTTTAGAAACAGCTTTGGCGTCCTCTACTGCTTATCCTCAGGAATGTAACGTTATGTTCGCGCCATTTTTTTTTTTTTTAAATAAATAGATAAATAAACCTCCTTTAGATATTTACATTTGCAACACCACAGTTATTATCAGTCTTACACTAGTAAGATTTCCGTTTTATTTCCTTGTGTTAAGATTCTTTTTAACTTGATCAATAAAGCGGACAAGTAGTTAGTGATTTCACGTCTCCAACACACACACAATCATCACGCACTCTTAGAAAAAAGGGTTCTATGTAGCATCATAGGGTTCTTTACTCAACTGCAAAATGCAAAAAACCTTTTATTTAAAAAAAAAAAATGATGATGATGACAAGAAAAGAACCCTTTTGGCACAAAGGTTCTTTATAAGCTATTATTCATTCATATTGCATTATTCTGCAACATTTTGTAGTTGTAATTAAATTAATGTTTATTAAACTGTTGTAGTAACTTAATATCACATTTTAATCATGCTGATTTTTGGATGAGAAAAAATTAAATGGCAGTCTTCGTGTGATATTGATTAATTAGGCTACATTTTTTAACCCCCATATCTTGAATTTTGTGATCATTCAAATGCATTGCATTTTAGGGGTTCCAAATACGTAGCGCTTTAGAACATTTTCTTCCAAGAGTTGCGTTTATAATATGGAAATCAAATCACCTTAAGGCTCTGCAAGTAGCCTACAGGCGATCATAGACCAATAGAAGTTCTGTGGTCCTGTAAGGTTCTCCCGGTGGTAGGCTACTTAATATCTTAAATTTCAGTCCAAAACACAAAATCATAGATACCGTTGTTTCGGTAGGACAGACAAAATGTTCTCTCTCCGCAAACGTCTAAAAAGATAAAAATGACTAATAAACAGAGGATTTCCTCCATATATTCTATTTACTTCAAAATGCATTCATGCAATATATAACATCATGCCAAGTATTATTGAAGCAATAAATAATTTAGACCTATATAAATCTGGCCACATTTTCTGTGCTGAATGTTTGGGGAAATTGTTTCCTTTGACTTCCGTCTTCTTGACATCATAATTTCTGCCGTTTGTGAAGGTTTGGAGACATGGAAATGATGACTACAGTTTTAATCATATAGAACAGCTTGAACATAAATATGTCCAGACTACCACCTTCAGTGACCATTCTTCCCCCCCCCCCCATGTCATGTAGGCAAAAAAATGTTTTGCTTTTTGAATATCACTACATTTTATTGTTGGTTACTCATAAAAAAAAATGGTTAACTATATAAAAAAAAAATAAACAACTGACATTTTTTCTTTTCCCTTTATATGTCAAAACAAATATTTAAAACACTTAGAAAATCAATATTTTTTCAGTTATTTCTTTTTTTTTTTTGTACAAAGAGGTTAAACAGAGTCTGGCAAACCACAAGGTATCAATATTCTCATCTAACTCTCTGCTTGATTTGAGAAACACTATAATTCACCGGTTGTAAACTTTAAAGTGACCTGACAAGAGACAGCAAACACGATAACAAACTAACAGCTTGCTACAGGAGCATGAAAAGCCAATGAATCTTTAGAATGGAAAACAGCATTTTTCAAATGGCCATTAAACATTTCATCTTTACGTTTATCTACTTTGAAATGGTAAAAAATGTTTATGAATTAGAATCTCGCTTTGAAAACTATTGTTTTGCCTGCTGAGAGGGAGAGATTGATGCATACCATTGACTTTTCCAGGCAAGACAAGTAGTTTGTTTAGGCATGGTTTGTAGGGAATTACAAACCTACACTATTATATTCAAGCGCACAGAACCATAGAATCAATTCATAATGCGCATGTGAACGGCATCAGCGTTTATCACAGGTTCACATTTAAAGTCTGTTTAGAGAGAACGGTTAGTGGCCCCTAATTTACTAACAAATGATCATTTCAATGGAAATGAATCGAAACTAACTTTAGCTGGAAAATAACATTAGTCAAGAACCGCTATAAACCAAACCAATCTCTGTTACCTTAAATGGTTTATCTCTGTAAAGCTGCTTTGAAACAATCTACATTGTTAAAAACGCTATATAAATGAGGATGACTTGACTTGACACATAAAATACCCAGTGTGCAGTAATTTTCAACACAGCAACGATATCAGTTGAAGTCTGAGCTGACCCATGAATAAACTCAATGACATCGACACTCCATTTTACTTCAAATTCATTTTGTTATTAACTGAAATGGCTTAAATGAACTCGAAGGCAATATGAAGTTTATCTCTGAGGATGCGTCTTTGGTACACTGACTTGCAATTGGCACCGAAATAAAAAGGCAGAGAAAATAGTACATTAGATGAATTTGTTATTCGTTCAACGTGGTCGCAGCTTTTATAACATGGATGTTCCAGATTTTCAAGGGGGTTGTCAAATAACAGAAACTGACCTGAACCTTAGAAAATAAATATGATAACCTAATATGTCTAAAAGTGCTGGTAGAAATAATTCAGTAAGCACGCAAGATGAAAACATAGACAGTGCATGGGAAGTGGAGAGCAGGTCATTCTGTTGGTCCTTGGGTGTTTTTGTGAGGCCACGTCTCAATTGGCTCTTTCCTCTCTAAGTAGTGTACCTGCTTTGTGTGATAACTGCACAGAAAAGAATTGCCAAAGGGCAAACTACAGAGCGAGCGAGTGAGCCGTTTTGAGTTCAGTCCCGTCTCACCAATCCTTCTTCTTTTCATCCATGGACACTCCACCTGGACCTAGTGCTACTATCAGCAAGAGGCCACCGATCACTGATGTGGTCTGGAAGAAGTCGTACTTGAGGAAGTCGTGCATGGGCTTGTAGGTTGGTATGGTCCAGAAAGCATTGAAGTACACGTTGATGGCCAGCAGCCAGATGACCAGGGTGAGGGCCGCCAGTTTAGTCTTGAAACCAACAGCCACCAGGACAATGAGAGCTGTACCAACCAGATTCTGCAAAATCTGAAGCAAACACAGATACTTTAGAAGTCATGTGACTGATGTAAAACTGTAATACAGGAAGAAGGATTCAAAACTGCACAAATCCTCTATGCAACTGAAAACCTGTCCACGTCTGACCTCAAGTGGTGAAAAGTATAACTACAATGGAGAAGGCACATCTCAGAGACACTGTTTTTTTTTTTTTTGGGACGCATTCAATTTTGTGGTGACCCAACACTGGGAATAAAAACAGTTTAAGATACAAAAGTGGAAAAATATCCTCAAATTAAACATTGAAATTATTATTATTACTGTGAACTGCATAGGCTTAACAATGGCAAGTTATCCATGTTTGGGTTCCAAATGCTCTACAGTGCAAGATTTGAGTTAATTTTATTAAATTAAATGAATACTTTTATTCAACAAAATGCATTAAATTGATCAAAAGTGACAGTAAATACATTATCATTGTTACAAAAGCTTTCCATTTCAAATAAATGCTGTCCTTTTGAAATTTCTATTCAACAAAAAAATCATAGAAAAAGATGCATCACGGTTCCCCCCCAAATTTTTTTTTTTTTGCTGTGATAAGAATGATTTTAGAATGATAGCTGCTGAAAATCCAGGAATTACATGAATAAATCACATTTTACAAATATATTACAATAGAAACACTTATTTTAAATTGCATCATCTCCTCACAGTATTACTGTTTTTACTACATTTTTTATAAAATAAATACAGCCTTGGTGAGCATAACAGACTTCAAAAACATAGACTGTCAAAAACATATTTTAAAAAAAAATTCTTACCTACCCTAAACTTTTGAAAGATAGTGTTTATTGCGGTTGAGAGACTTGGCACAAACCTTTTGGAAATCTTTGTTACATTTGTACCTTTAATTATAGTCTGTGTCATTGTTTTATTCATTGTGTGTAGTTTTGTGAAATGTGCACCTGTTGTGCAATAGGTCACCTAATATGAATGTCAGATGTACCTGCAGCCTTCAGGTTGAAGGAGTAGTTCACTTTTAAAAAACCTTTTGTTGATAATTTCCTCACTCCCATGTCATCCAAGATGTCCATGTCTTTCTTTCTTCTTCGAAAAGAAATTAAGGTTTTTGATGAAAACATTCCAGCATTTTTCTCCACATAATACACTTTACTGGGAACCAAACGGTTCAAGGTCCAAAAGACAGTTTCAGTGCAAACTTCAAACTGTTCAAAGGACTTTAAACGATTCCAAACAATGAATAAGGGTCTTATCAAGCGAAACAATCGCTCATTTAATAAATAACAAAGTTTTATAACGTTAGTAACTCTCCTGTTTGAACTCGTTCATCAAAATGAACAAATCTTTTTCTGAGTCAATTCGTTTGTTTCGTTCGTTGAATGAACCAAATGACTGGGAAAAAAAAGATTTGTTCATTTTGATGAATGAGTTCGAACAGGAGAGTCACAAAAGTGCATTACAGAACAGAGCAAGGCGAGCATTTGAGCTTATAAAACTTAAACTTTGTTATTTATTTATTAAATGAGTGATTGTTTCGCTTGATAAGACCCCTATTAATTCATCTGGAATCATTTAAAGACCTTTGAACAGTCTCAGTTTACACTGAAATCGTTCATTGGTTCCCATTGAAGGTCATTATATGGAGAAAAATCAAGGAATGTTTTCATCAAAAACCGTAATTTCTTTTCGACTGAAGAAAGAAAGACATGGACATCTCGGATGACATGGGGGTGAGTAAATTATCAGCAAAAGTTTTTTTTAAAAAAGTGAATTAATCCTTTAACTTACAAGTCTGACTCTCTAACCATTAGGCCACAACTGCCCAAAGAGGAAGAGCCAGCCAGTCAAGAGTGTCTCAGAATTGTTCCATGGAGATGAATGACATCAGTGATGAAAACTGCCTAGCAATTATCCACCTGTTTCCGGGGGGCACTACTGTAAAAAATAAAGTGTGTGCACCTTCCAGTCAGGCGGCGGAAGCAGCATACCAATGGTATTTTGTGTGATTTAGCGAAGAGGCTAGGTGTTTTTCGGATAATGTTTTACTATTTAAACTAATTCGCAAACCTTTAAGAAAGATGTCGTTACGGAGCTCAGGGACAACATGTACTCTTTGCGGTTGTACATAGGCCTATAACCGGACTAAACTAATTCAGTGGCAAATTTTATTATCCAACAATCTTGGACTAAAGATTTTAAGTAAACGCTACTGTGAAGCAACACATTCAGAATATGAATGACACACAGGAAACACTTCACAGTATCGCGATTTCGGTTTTATTTAATATCATTCTTTTTTATTATTATTTAGGAACAAACGAGGGTCTCTGTTTAAAGAAACGCTGGCTCGAAGCTGCAGATTTCAGAGCAGCTCAGCGCATATCTTAAACTTTAGCCATAACCAAACATTCAGTTTAACCGTCACAAGTTGATCTTGTAATAAAGAACTCATCATGGAAAAACATGCCATATTTTTGTATTTTCATTGCATTTTTAATTGATAAAAAGTTAAAGTAAATAATACATTTTAGTATAAATATTAATGATTAATCGATAGTCGAATGAATGAATGAGTGTCACGTCTCGCTTGTTTACTTCAAACTGAAAGACGCACCCACTTTTGACGCAAGGCCTCATGGGACGTAGGAAACTTGAGGATAGCTTTAAGGTTTGCAAACCAAGCAAGCCATGAGCAGTTTCTATTGTAATGCAATATTTATATAGATAAACTGAATCAGCTTTGAGAAAGCTTGCATTTCAGCATGCATCATGATGCAATTGGCACAAATGCTCAACCCCATGCCCACATCCTGAGCAACAATCACAACATAATCTTTATGACTGTGACCTACACAAAGAGCTGAACACAGTGCAATAATGTTTTACACTTTCTACCAAGTTATAATATACTGGGTTAAAAAACCCCAAAAACATTTATAATGTTTTAGACGTTCTTCCAAGTGAACGGGTTAATATGTTTCCATATACTGGGTTTAAAAAAAAAAACCTACAAACAAAGAGGAGTCTCCTACATTCAAAGACTTAATTAATTAAGTTTTTTGTAAAGTATCTAAGCTTGTTTCTAAAAAGTATTTAAAAGGTAAATACATATTCATTTAATTTTTTTTGTTTTGTTTTTGTAATATTCCAAAATGTCAGTTTGCTACAAATTCAGTAGATATTTTTACAAACAAAAGGAGCCAGCAATTTAAATTCTGTCATTTACTCACCCTAATGTCTTTCCAAACTTGTACGACTTCCGTTCATAATCAGAACACAAAGTTATTTTAATCAAATCTGAGCCAGTTCTGTACTCTCTATTGATAGTCTACGTCACTACCACTTTGACACTTCAAAAAGTTCATAGAGAGTTCATCCATATGAATTGAGCGGTTTAGTCTAAAATTTCTGAAAAAACACAATCGCTTTATATGATGAACAGATTGAATTTAGGCTTTTATTCACATATAAACATTGATCAGTGGACAAACAAAAAAACAAATCTCATTGGTAACAAACGATAATTTACTTCATTGGTTCTCGCACCTCAAGCAAGCATACTTATGCTTCTGTTATCATAACTGATGTGTGTGTTGAATCACTCAGATTTTATTAAAAACATTAATTTGTGTTCCAAAAAATGAACAAAAGTTTTCAAGGTTTGGAACAACATGAGTGTGAGTACATGACAGAATTTAATTGTTAAATAAACAAAAGTTTTGGGTCATTAAGATTTTTACTTAATACTGTAACTACAGGGTTAGGGTTAGGAAGAGGTTTTGGTTTAGGGTTAATTGCACGTAATTATGCATCATGTATAGTTATTACTACAGTAATTACATGTAACGAGTAACAATTACACTTTAAACTAAAGTGTTGCCTAAAAATCTTAAGGGGGGGGGGGGGGGTCATGAAATGCAGTTTCAGATTTGTATATTATGTTTCTCGAGGTTAGTTTATAATGTTTGCAAAGGTTTTTAATTTTTGGATGAAGAATAATTTAAATGGGTAAACGGATAAATCACATTTCTTTGCGATTCACCCGTTTAACAGGTTGAGGATGTTTGCTCACCGAGAGGAAGCTGGTATCAAAGTGCAGCAGCGTCATAAACATGAGCACCAGCAGGACTCTGCCTCCGAGCTGCATGTACTGTTTAGGAGAACTCTCTCTCATAGTGGGAACACCAGCAAACATACTCCTGCCCTCAGAACGTGACTCAGCAAGGAGCAGCAGCAGACCTCCACCCAGAGCCAAATTCCTGAACACAGAGGAGAGAAGTCAAGAACGACCAGATCACGACATAGGATGATCTACTCATACTTGCCGTATCCAGCAAAAAAACAAAAAAAACACTTACCTCATCAAAAACTTTGGGTCCCAAAGAATGCTATAGGCAACAGTCTGGAACAGATAAAGATCAAGACCATAAATAAACGGTTTAACTCAATTAAAGTCCTATCCACAGATTATATCTGATTGCATCATAAAAAAAACTCAACTCAAACAGAATGCTCACACCTGTAAGGCGATGATCCCAAATAATCCAAAGCACGCATATTGCACAAAATTCCGGCTCAGGATAAGTATACAACCACCTTTAACAGAGAAGATTAATAAAACATTTTTATGTAAAAATTTGAAGATGGTCCAACTTGAATATTTTAGTGCTGCACAAAACTCTTACCCAGCTGTCCGAGTAAGTTGATTAAGACAAACAGTGTGGCCAGAAAGAACCCACATCCCCACGTCGTCTCAATATATTCTTTCTGCTCACTCCACTGGAACCACATTCGAATGCCGTCCTCCAAGAACGTGCTGATCAGACAGAGACGTGCTATGTGGGGCAGGTATTGCTTCGTCATTCGAAGGAACTAGAGATGAATGAAAAAGACAAACATATTAAAAAAAAAAAAATCCCCAAATCTAGGTATGAGCAGTACAGGTATAATTATGTTAAATGGTGTTAGATTAAGTGACTTGATAAAGGAGGAATTTCCCACCGGTCAATGGACATGTGACAACACCAGTAATACCAGTATCACAATAGCAATTGTTCCATCTTATCCACCTAGCTTTTAAATGCTCATGCATATTTTACTTTTGCTTTTGAATAGCTGCAATTGCTTGAATGGTGGGTTCATTATTATTCTTAATGAAAAACAACAACAAAACAGTGCAATGACAAACTCGCTTATACTAAACAGAAATTATTAAAAAAAAACACACACAGCAAACACCATGAAGGTGTGTGTAATGTATAAGTGCTACCTGCGGAAGCTGTCACCTTCATCAGCCAAAATTTGCAGATTGCCTTAAAGGGTTAGTTCACCCAAAAATGAAAATTAAGTCATTAATTACTCACCCCCATGCTGTTCCAACCCCGTTCATCTTCGGAACACAAATGAAGATATTTTTGATTAAATTTGAGAGGTGGACCACTGCTACATAGGCTCCTAAGGGACTCAAACTTGACGGCCCAGAAAGTCAATGAAAAAAATGTTTAAATATTCCATGTGACAATAGTAGCTCAAGTATAAGTTTATCAAGCGAGGAGAATACTTTTTGTGCGAAAAAACAAACAAAAATAACGACTTTATTCGACTACTCCATTTCTTCAACGACACATGCGCGAGAACTGAACTGAAGTAGTAGAAGAACGCAGTTCTCGCGAATGTGTCGTGGAAATCTCTTGAATTCTCGTTTCAGGCCTACAAGGAAGAACAGGAATAGTCGAATAAAGTCATTATTTTTGATTGTTTTTTCGTACAAAAAGTATTCTCGTCGCTTGATAAACTTATACTTGAGCTACTGTTGTCACATGGAATATTTAAACATTTTCTTCATTGACTTTCTGGGCCGTCAAGTTTTAATCCCTTAGGAGCCTATGTGGTAGTGATCCACCTCTCAAATTTAATCAAAAATATCTTCATTTGTGTTCCGAAGATGAACGAAGGTCTTACGGGGTTGGTACAGCATGGGGGTGAGTAATTAATGACTTAATTTTCATTTTTGGGTGAACTAACCCTTTAATGTTTGCTGGTTCCCTATTAGCATAGGGTTTCAAAATAATCCAAAATATTTCCGAATAGTCGCTTTTACAATTTACTTAGAAACCAAATCGTCTTGACACTCAGCTCGCCTCACTCTTGTCGTGATAAATGACACTGCTGCATTAACTTCTGGTTATCACTGTAAAACTGCTTTGAAACAATCTGTATTGTAAAAAGCGCTATATAAATAAAGGCGACTTAACTTGATATGAAATCTGACTCCTGTGTTGATCTGTGATGCGATTTTTGTTTCGGCTTAGACTGAATTAACTAGACACCTTCAGTTTTTAATTGTAGTGTGGGTTTTCTAACTGAACTAAATAATTTTTTATTACTATAAGAAAATGCAGTGCCACGGTGGGCAAGTGATGTAATCGTGTCCAGCTGAACACCGTGTAACACCAACTATCGCAGCAAGCCTGCCTAGTAATTATACAATAATTATGCTTTGCTGTATTTTAATTTTTTACTTTACGGTTTTACAGCTTTTTACAAACATCAAACAGGAATAAATAACAAAAAAAAAAAAAAAAAAAAAAAAAAGAAAGAAAATAAATGTTTTAGATTTACACAAACTTTATATCACATCAAGCAGGCAAGCAAGCGCTGAAGCAGCCCTTCAATTGCATGTTGTTTAATGTTTAACCCCTGAGCTCTAATTGCCCTTTTCACTTTTCCCTACATTTAAGTCAATATCAGAGAACAGGTGGCCAAAAGCACATCCATTTGCAACTGATGACTCATGATGAACACAAGGGCAATTGCACCAGCATTTAAATATCACTGTGGTTTACCAGCAATAAATCTTTTCCACTTCCTCATAACAGGTGTTGAATAAAAATGGACAGGTAAGAAATAACACTAACACTCTCTAAACATGCTTGTGATTAACTCAAGGCTTGACGCTGGCCTCTGCTAAGCCCCGCCCCCAGACGATCCACATCAGCACTAAGACGACAACGAGCCAATCAGCATTCAACAAGTACCAAGCAAGGCTAAATGAATGGGGAAAAGATCTCAGGGCCAATGACTGCCTGTGTGTCAACATTTCTCTTAGTCTACATGCCTGGAGGGCATTTGACTCGTTTCCATGAATATTACAGATTTGTTCTCAGTCAAAAAAAGATAGTATTACTGAATTAGAACTGTATCAATAAATGTTTAATATTGTTCCAGTTGCCATGGGATAAAACCTTAAAAATAGAAAGAAATATAGCTGTCATTGGCTGGGATTTAATTAATTTACAAAAACAACACTGAAAATTAAGCTATAAATTAATAAACTGAGATGATGGCCCCACTAATGGCCTTGAAATCCCCAAACTGATAAACCAAACAACTCCATTATACGCTTCTACAATAATGACATAATCCCAAAGTTGCTTCTTGTTATTAAGCCCGAAATAAGCAGAAACTACGCAGCATGAAAAAGAGGCCCAAACACGTTCATAATCATACGAGTTATGCACATATTGCAACGTAAACAACATAAATGCATTCGATTAATGTCAAGCTGTCAAATTCCCTTTAAACCTGGACAACAAAACCTAATCTTGTCCTATAATCAGTCATCGTATGGGAACTATCAAACAAGTATAGTATAGCATCATTTACTCTTGCTTCATCAAAAGCACAGACGTGTGACTGCACTGATGCAAATGATTTAGCTGCTAGAGATAAAGTTTGTATGGCGTTCAGACATTCTGGACAGGAACAAATACTGTAACGTTATTTATATACCGCGCGACAGTATAAATACATGTCTTGCAGTCCTTATCAGTGCTCGAAAGCAGCCCTGGAAAATCAAGGTTTTGGCACAGTTCTTCTAACGTTAGACAGTATCACTATTAGGTCAGTTCCTCCATCTGGGTCACAAGACTAGAAGTTAGTTAATAAACAAATCTAATTTGCAGTCAAGCAAACATGACCCGAGCTGTACACGCACACATGGACTTTCCCGAACTTAGGAAGCGTTTGTTTAGTGAATCAGTGTAGTCTTCATGATTTAGTGTGCAAGTTGCCTTCCCTGGCAGGGCCTTCTGTTCTCTCACCTGATCCGCCACGTCCTCCGCGTTGCTCATTAAATCATTTTGAGCCATGTCACCAAAATCCAAGAGACGATTTCCGTCTGAAGGACACCTTAGATTGATTCCGTTTCGTTTATCGATACCTATGTCAGCTACCCGTTGTTTTACAGGGTTCGTACTAGACTTGCTTCACCGTCGTCTGTGTGTACTAGAATACCATCTCCGCCCCATAATGCCCTGCAGTTCGCTCTGTCGCCCCCTGTAGGACACACATATGTCTGCATGCCACGTGTACTGATGCAGCCAGAATATTGAGCTCAAGCAGTGACGTCTCTCAGACTGGCGAGGCCAGGAATCTTGTTAAAATATGATGGACCTCATCTCTCTCTCTCTCTCTCTCTCTCTCTAGTTGGTATATAGTGGAGTTGGTAATAATAATAAAAATAATAATAAATAAATATATGGCAGTGTGTTACAACACAATTTTGAATAAGAATTAACAATTAATTACAATTCAATTAACCTCTGATAATAAATGTAGTAAATACTGCTGTTCAACAATTATAATATTATTGATAATTATATTTAAAATAAAATGTAATGAAAGCAAATAAGAATTACAATATTTCTGAATTTACATAAACATTTATTTTACAATAATTACAACTGATTTATTTATTTCTCTCAGGTTTTCTTCACAGAAACACTTGGACTCTTAAAAGCATGAAGGGTATTCTTTGTTTGGTCTTTGCTGACGGTCTCTTTAACCTCAATTGGTTTTACAACATTCTCTTCTGAGTTCAACTGTGATGCATGACACAAACTGAATATAGGTGTTGCGTTCACATTTTCTTGCTCTTCTGAGTAATGCAGAGGGTCAAAGGATGTCTTTTCTTTTTCACCGGACTCTGTTTGCCGTAGTTGAACACTCGAGTCAAGCCTATTCCTTTCTTGGCAGAGTGACTCTTGGCTTGACCTCGAGCCAAAATGTGGAGTACATATTAGGTGCTTCATGACCACGAAAGGTTTCTTTGGAGCTACAGAAGTTTTTGAGCGTGAAGTCTTGGATTTGTGCGCTCTTTTAGATGGTTTAAGTTTCCTCGGGTGTAAGTGGTCCCTTGAGGAATTGATGTGTGATCTGTTGAGATCTGCTTGGCTGCTGTCAGAAACCATGGTTTTATTGGCACAGGAAGCAATGAGCTCCAGGCCTCGAGGGTCCACCATTGGGCTACTACATGAGGCATCACTCTCACAGTTCTTCTGCATCTTCGGGGTGTTATGCTTCTGAAAATCAAAAACAATAAGCATATTGCATTAGCTCTATTAACAGTTAATACACTTTTCTTTTTCTTTTTTCTTTTTGTTTAACAAAAGAAATTCCTCCTTACATTATTTACAGAGAAATGTTAGTCAGTAGTGAATGTAGGACATTGCAGAATGTCTAATTCTTGTTGGGAACATCCTATGAGTTTTTAGAAAGCGGTATTCAATTTAGAAATAAATTATGGCCTGGTTCTGATTCGTCATGCACATGTATAGTTGTAGTACTTCAGTAGAAATTTCTAAAATTTGAGGTAAGATTGATTTTTTTTGTTTTAAAGAAAATAATACAAGGATGCATTACATTGAGTAAAAGTGACAATAAAGACATTTATAATGTTCCAAAATATTTCTATTTCAAATAAATGCTCTTTTTAATGGCTCTATTCCACAAATAACCCTGAAAAATGCACTATGGTTTACACAAAAATATTAAGCACCACAACTGTTTTCAACGTTGATAATAATAAGAAATGTTTATTGAGAAAATTAGATATAGCATATCGATTTCCAAAGGATCATAAGACACTGAAGACAGGAGTCATGGCTGCTGAAAATTCAGCTTTGCCAAAAAGAAATGTTACATTTTTAAACATATTAAAATAGAAAACAGTTCTTTTTAAATTGTAAAAAATATTTCACCTTATTCTGTTTTTTTACTGTATTTTGTAACCCAAACTTGTCAACTGTATTGCAAAAAAAAAAAAAAAAAATACAGCAGCTTCAAAATGATCATTTGAGGTATGACTGTGTTATACTGTGTGTAATATTTTTTGAATGCGTCACTTTTAGAAAAAGCTATTATAAAGCAGGTTTTCCCAGTTTAAGTCCCGGCTGAGCCAGGAGGTCTTTCTGTGTGGAGTTTGCATGTTCTCTCTCTGTCTGAATGGGTTTCCTCTGAGTTTCCCCCACAACTCAAAAACAATAGGGTGGTTGGGACACTTTTTGCCATCATCCTGAATTCACCCTATAGGTTAATGGGAGACGCCAAATCGAATGCGTGTGTGAGTCCCAAGTTATGTAATGGAGATGGTTGGGGAAAGACCTAGCGACCTACCCCGGAAAAATCCTCAGCAAGAAAATCCATGAACAGTCTCTCGCGTATGACAAGACAAGAGATGGCCCATAGAATCACCAAGAGTCTGATATGACTGAAATTGTTAATGAATGAATGTAGTATCATTGATTTCAGATTTGCTCACCTCTTAAAGGCTATGCACATTAAGGAAAAAAAACGCACATACCACTGATTCCGTAATGTTCCTTACCTGCAAGTTCTGGAAGTGCATGAGAGACCTGCAGTGAGTTTCCCGTGCAGATGACTCAAAGTGGTAGAATTTATGACAGAGCTTACAGAGGAAACCAGCGACAGGCACCACAAAACTAGTGCCTGAGGGTCAGAAAGGTTACTCAGAAACTGTTCTTTGACAATCTAGAGATGTGGTTGAAGCTGAGGACTCACCATATTGTGTGTCTGGATCATATGTCTCATTATAAGTTGTCTCTTCGAGAGCAATCTCCCTATGAGCAGGATGCTATGAAAACAATTCAAGTAAAAACTCAAGAGTACCAAAAGAAAGAAATTTAGAGGAGCACATGAAGTCATGCAACAAACCCTGTCAAACACTGCAACCTCCTCTTCATTTCTATCCTCCTCATAATCATCTTCCCCTTCAAAGCAGCCAATAGCATCCACAGTTATGAGCTCCTCCATAACCTCTGGGCCGCCCTCGTTTCTTAACTGTAACAAATGAGAACAGTCTTACTGATGTCATTCAAAGCATTTTACATTCAAATATCGACATAAATACACACACAAACCTCCTCAACCCTCTGTTTGTGGCCAGAAGACTTCATATGTTCAACAAACTTGCGAGGGGTCCTAAAGTGGCGCTCACACAGGGTACAGAAAGGTCTCGAAGACACTTTTGACATCTAACGAGGAGACAAGACAGCATTTCTATACAGTCAGTGGTTTACACACTACTCATGTATACGTGGATATTATTTGTAGTGATTATGGTGAGATTTGTTTCGTTAATGTTAAGGTCACCTTGTGTTTCTTTGTTCGTCTGTGCTCAATGAGGTCACCAGAAAAACGACACTGACAGGTAGGACACCAGCGCTGATGACCCATCCTCCTCTCTCTGTTATAAAACAAAAATTAAAGAACACAACAATTACAATTCTATGAACTCTCAGCTCTCTCATATGTTACCAGAGTAACAGACTTCATTTACTCTTATGAGTAAGTCAACTTATTAACAATACACCCTACACCTTTAAAGTATGGAGATCATCACTTACCTGTTTGTTCCCTGCAGGGACTCCTGGGTTTGTGGTAACAGTGTGGCCAGACAGGTGTTACTCGCATGCTGGATTTCCATCATACGTTGCTGATGATCTAAACTGATCATGTGAGTCTGGAATCCCTGCAGAGGTCAAACCACTTCACTAAACACAATGATCCACTGACTCCTCTCCTCATTTATGTACAGTCAAGTCTTACTTGCTGGTCAGGACAGGTGATGTTGCAAATGTAGCAGGAGAATTTGACTTTGTGTTTGCTTCTCTCTTTCTCGTCATCATGGCCTGCACCCGCTGCCATCTCCTCAGGTGAAGTGCTGAAGGCTCGACTCTCACTGCTACGCTGGATAGTCACCTTCAGAGACGTGCCAACACCCTGCACCTAAACGACACAGTGCTTAAATGAGTATTCCAGATTAATACAAGCCCTTGTTGATTAAGTGTCAGAATTGTTCTCTTGAGGTGGAGTTCTTTTCAAGACTAATTATTAAGACTAAGATTCATTTCTAGTTATTATATGACTCCTATTGGTGGAGCTTCATGATTTGAAGACTGAAGACTGGGGTAATGATGCTGGAAATTGCCATTAAAGGAATAATCACATTTTATAACATATTAAAATAGTATATTAAACTTTAATTATATTTCTCAAAGTTACTGTTTACTGTATTTTTGATCAAATAAATGCAACCTTGGTGAGCACACACACACACACACACACACGCACACACACACACACACACACACACACGCACACATATATATATATATATACACAGTACTGTGCAGAAGTCTTAGGCACACTAGTATTTTCCCCTCAAAGAAATGGTTTTAAACCAGTTATTTATATATTTTGTTGCAGTGTCTCAGTAGGAAATATCAGTTTACATTTCCAGACATTAATTGTGCCATCAATTGTAATAATCCAGTGAAATTTTTGAATGCACAAGGATTCTGACAACAGCCAATGCTCCACACGGAGGTCGGATCTCACCATCATCGAGTGCATCTGAAATTATATGAAGAAACTGAAAAAACAGAGACTAAGACCAGAAGAACTGCGGCAACGTCTCGAAGGTAATGCCTGCCTGCCTGCAAAGCTACAGTAGGCTACTGTGAAAAAGCACTTGTGTAAAAATGCTGTAAATGAGAATGTTTCAAAAACAATGTCATAAATAATCATAAATAGATTTTATTTATCAATTCATTTTATTATTTAACTATTATTAACTGTTATTAACTTTTAACAGTTAACTAAATCAAATCAATAGGTGTTTAGTACCCTTTACGCTTAAAACAGCTTTTGTCTCGGTATTGCACATAGTTTTTAGTTTTGCTGGTTTTTTCAAGCGTCTTTGGAAACGTTGCCGCAGTTCTTCTGGTCTTAGAGTCTCTGTTTTTTCTGTTTCGTCATATAATTTCAGATGCACTCGATGATGGTGAGATCCGACCTCCGTGTGGAGCATTCGCTGTTGTCAGAATCCTTGTGCATTAAAAAATTTCACTGGACTATTACAATTAATGGCACAATTAATGTCTGGAAATGTAAACTGATATTTCCTACTGAGACACTACAACAAAATATATAAATAACTGGCTTAAAACCATTTCTTTGAGGTGAAAATACTAGTGTGCCTAAGACTTCTGCACAGTACTATATATTTATTTATTTATTTTAATGGTAGTGTATAATAAGCTGCACAATTGTACACTATACATGTGTCTTTTGTTTATACAAACTGATGTTCATTTGAAAGCATTAGGAGTAAAATTATTATTGTGTAAAAATTAAAAAAAAAAGTAAATTCACTGCATTTTGTATTCAGCGGCATTAATTGAGATGTACTGGTGTTATTGGGAATGTCCAGACGTAAAGATGGAAATATATTAATGATGCTGTGATACTGCACCTCTGCTGCTCTGTTCTGATCAACACTGTCTTCTTCAAGCTGTGCAGAACCGTTATCATCCTCTGCATCATTTAGAGGGGAAATAAAAGATTGTTCAACATTTAAACACGACTTAGTATATATCATGTTAAAGTTGCAGACGAAGAGTTTGATAACAGTATAACTGAAAGTACAGAGCGTGGTCTTTTTTTTTAGTGGATTTGTGGTTTGCCTGAGGCTAAAGAGACAAATACATCAAGCTACACACAGCCACACACATAATACCTTCATGGTCTGAAACACTTGGAGAGTTTGATTTTTGTGTCTGCTGTATCCTATCTCCTTTACCAGACTCTTCCCCCAGTCCAACAGGCCTGTTTTGTAAGTATGTCACATGAAACACAAAAACAGCCTCATTCATTTTAGTCCATCTGCAGTGATATAACCTTGATTAACTGCATGACATCAAGATGCCAAACCAAAACGATTTGAACAATAACAGTAAAATCAAAATTACCTTTGACCTCTGTGCTTTTTCAAAGGGGGCTCTGCTTGTTCTGGGACAGCAGAATGAATTTGTCCAACTGTACCATTGGGTTTATTTGGGGCATGAGAAGGAACTTGTAAAAAGGAATTTGACAACACATTTTATTATAAATGCACAACTGGTTAATAGTCTACTGTAAGTCGAGGGGTCTCCTCAAGCATAAATGTGTACTCACCCACTTTTCCGATGTTTGAATCAGTGTTCATTTTTCTCGTCTGTCCAGGACTTTTCCCAGCAATGGAATTTCCCAGCACATTCTCCTTCTTTCTGTCTAGGCTCTGCACTGTAGGCTCCTTAAATAAATGTGAAACACGGTCAATGCTCCCTCATCTCAGTCGACCCAAGTAAACAATCAAAACATAGAGAATGCTTTATAATTTAATACACATTAAAGGCCAGTTCACACCAAGAACATAATGTAAAAGCCATTCACGACAAAAGGTCATGAATACAAGATACAATTTAATAAAAAAAGATTTCATCATCTTCAATGAAAACCCATCTGAAAACTGAACTACTGTCATCTGATAACATTTTATATAAAATAAAAGCCATGACGTCATAAGGCCGTCTAAATCGATCCAATGGCGGTATTTGATTAGAGGTGAAGGTCTCACGCATGTTCCGTCTTTTCTCGTGGCAAAGAGATTTTAAATTAAATGCAATACATTTTATCTTATGTATTAACTTGTTATTTCATCTGACTCCATAAATGAAAAGGTTTTTCAATGATATCTGTGCATCATTAAATCTACGTGAATGTTTGACTATTCCTTTCAACTCTAATGAAAATAAAGTCAAAGTCTGTTAGAATAATCAAATATAACAATTTATTATGTCATGTAAATGTATTATTACAATTTAACAATCAATTGAAAGATAATCAATGCAAACCATCAAATGTTCTAGAACAAAGAGGAAAATCCTTTACCCGACATTATGAAATACATGAATGCTGCATTCACAGGCTGATCTGATATACAGAAGAGGAGTGATCTCTCGTTGCATTTCATAATATAGCCAAACCTCATTTCATATGTAAACATGAGTTTATAGTGAAAAGTTACTGTGTTCACCCCCCAGACTTACTAGGGGCAGAAGTTGACCATTTGCTAGCAGTGGTAATTTGCATTCATGAATTTACACCTTTTGGAAGTAGGAGGACCATACCATAGCCTGACTGCGCCCTCCTACGCACTTTCGCTCAATTTAATTTTAGAGTCTGGTTGAACCAGGCTAGTAGGACCATGCCAGGAGACCACATTCCTTTGTGTGCCAGTTATTCCTAAACTCTTAAAAAAACTTATTACATTTGGTTTTACTTATTTGGAAATAGGACACTTACCAGTACCAGTCACACTTGTAGACATTTCAATAATACTAAACATGTATAAAACTGACAGTTGTTCAAATTAAAAACCATAATCTTATGTGAATTTGGGTGGTCTCTGCAAGAATGGGGGTCAAGGTCCTTCATCTCATAGACCAGTGGTCTATCTCTTCAACCAGTTTCCAGTTTTCCAGGCTTATGTGAAAATACACATTTTACTACAGAATCCACATTATAATACAGTAATACAGTGATATAGTTGGATCCAAAAAGAGTGGCATGTATATTAAATATATAGTGGCATGTAAAATGACAACAATACAGTAGCTAGGATGCAATTCATGAAAACTGGGGACTTCTGGAAAAGTTTTAGATTTTTGGCAGGGTGTTAGACATAGGCCTAAGGTTTTCAAAAATCCATGGATACAAGTTAGGGTGGTCCCCCTAGTGGCAGTTATCTATAAAATCCAAATGGCCCCAGCTGTAAAAAGACCCATAGACCCATATTTTTACCTCCAAGGTATGCTTTTCTTTGTTTATTGGACAGTTCCCTATCACTATAATGTCAAAAATCACATGTTGTGACCAAAAGGACCATTGTTGAGGCTTTAAATGAACACAACTTCAGAACTATGCCACAGTGAATAGTTATAGCGAATGGTACAGCGAAGTCCAGCGAAGTACAGTTGCCCTTACAGGCAACCACACAGCCACAGTTGAGGAGGAGTGTGCAATCCCTTGCTGACATCTTCCAGATCTGTCCAATATGACATCCAGACTTTGGTTCTGTCATTCTATTTCCAACCCCACTCACTGGGGTCTGGATTCTCAGGAGTTTTGGTGAAGGACTGCTTCCAGACAAAAACTGCATTGTGCAGGGCACGCTTCCCATGCTGGATAAGGCATGCTGGATCGGGGGGATTGAATCCAGGGACTTGATGCCATGAGTGAAAAGAAGCTTCCGAGCTTCATTGACTGACCGGACACCGCAGTTCTAACTATACATGAGTACAGTCCAGCATTCGAGAACTCGCATGTGCACTGATTCCAGTATGAGGCTGGTTGGGTATTGGGTGATCACAATGAGGGTGTCTGTGACTTCTGGTTAAGCTGCCCACACATTCCATGGAGTTCTTTTTCCCAGTTCCATACATTGCTGATACAACATCACATCCTGTGAACGCGTAGAAGAGAGGCAGTGTTTGGCATTTTTGAGATCCCACCTTCTGAGATGTGGTGGATTGAATCTTCAAATGCATTCCCTGATCCAAATCCAATCCACAGCTCTGAGAGGCCCAACTCCAGATTAATGGCCAGCACAACCACATCACTATCTAGTGTCCTCAGGTAAACCTTGGTGTGACCCTGTTTGGCAGCATGACGTAAATGTAGCATCATTCGTGTGTCTGCTTCCTCTTGCTGATATGGTGACAAGTGCTTCTAGGTCAGTAGGTTTGTTGCTCAGGACCAAGTTAGCCTTTGTTGTGAGGAGGTACTTTGAGCTTTGAATGTGTATGTGTGAATGTTTGTCACTGATGTACTGAAACAGCTCATCTTTATTTTGACTGTCCTTTAGGAACTTTTGCCATTGAGCTCCCTTTGGCAGAGGTATCTTAGCGGAGACCCGTGTTCTGTACCCTGCTGTCCCACCACGCTTAAAGGAGTAGTTCACTTTAAAAAAAAAACTTTTGCTGATAATTTACTCACCCCATGTCATACAATATGTCCATGCCTTTCTTTCTTCAATTGAAAAGAAATTAAGGTTTTTGATGAAAACATTCCAGGATTTTCTCCATATTTTAGAGTTAGGGTTAGGATTAGGTTACCACTTTACTGGTAACCAAACAGTTCAAGGTCCAAAAGACAGTTTCAGTGCAAACTGTTCAAAGGGCTTTAAATGATTCCAGACGATGAATAAGGGTCTTATCAAGCGAAACGATTACTCATATAAAATAAATAACAAAGTTTAAGTTTTATAAGCTCAAATGGTCGCCTTGCTCTGTTCTGTGATGTGCGTTTGTGACTCTCCTGTTTGAACTCGTTCATCAAAACGAACGGATCTTTTCCCGAGTCAATTCGTTCATTGAATGAACCAAATGACAGGAAAAAAGATTAGTTCATTTTGATAAACAAGTTCGAACAGGAGAGTCATGCACGCGGAATTGGAGACCTCACCTGTGTCTAGGGTGATGAGCTCTGTGCCTATTTCTTTGAAGCGGTTGACTATTTTATCTTCCTTTGCAAGATTCTATAGTTCTTTCAGATGATTGAGGAACTTCTGTTCAGCAGCTGAGGATTCTGGATGTTCCAGACTTTCCTTCTCGCTTGAGTCAGAGAAACAGGCAAGCTCAAACTCATCAATGGCCCATAGCACTTCCGGGTTTGAGAGGTTGTTTATCTCCTTCTCCTCCTGCAGGGCATACAAGCCCTTTCAACCACTGTCTTTCTTCAGAAACTTAATACTGTGTTCCTTTCTCTGATCAAGTGCCATAAGGGAGAATTTTTTATCTCCACGTTGGACCACAAACTTCCCCTCCATGAACGCCTTGGGGACTGCTGGATGGGTATCTGGCAGGTTTCCCATGTCCTTCAGAAATACTGGCATCCAGTGGGCATAATTTGTATGTCCAAAGGCAAATAATGGGCGCAAATCTTTGACAGCATTCAGGGTCAGTGGCCAATTCCCCACTCGCTGACCATGGAGGAGGCGACAGTTGATCATGATGAGGTAGTCTCAAACTGTTGTTGTTGTTGTTGGAGCATTATTCTGAGTCAACTATCCCACAACTCCATGCTTTCATTAAGCCCTATTGGCAGTAATCCTCATATGCCTGTATTTTGAGTACATGGAGCCAGGCAAAAGTAGTTTGACATGCTTGCCACTTGAAGTAGAGATGCATCAACACTAGTTGGCGAATTCAAACTACTCAGAGGCATATATGTAAAATCACATAAACTTACCTCACATATGGTCCTTGTATCATATCAAGTAGAAAAAAAAGTGTCTTAAGTCTAAATGAAGTTGAGATATAATCTGTCTTTTATACGGGCACCATTCAGGTTTTTATTGATACCGGCCACTAGAGGGCCACCCCAACTTGTATCCATGTTTTTTAACCTTAGGCCCATACCTTAGCCTGGTTGAAACCAGACCATTCTCAGTTTGTAACCGAGTTATGGTCTGGCAAAGCTTCGTAGACAAATCATTTCCAGAGGGGCGTCACCAACGGACGTAGCTCATGTCTCTGGGCGCAATTGGATAGACTTAAAACCAATCAGAGTGCTGAAGGAGATGACGTTTGCAGAGCGACGTTCGTCTATTTGAATAAACGAGCAGACAATCTGATTAGCTACTTGCTCTACATTTATTTAAAATTAACAGCAAAACAACTATAAGTGAATGTGCTTTCCATTATATAATTCACACACAGTAAACAAAACCTTAACAAAAAAACTTAACAATGAACTTTGCAATTTAGACATGCAAACTGCATGCAGGTATGGTGAGACCTTACTGTCTATGGGTGAGAGACATGTATGCTCGGGCAGATTCGACTTGAAGTCGTTCATCTTCGGACGCGGCGCCGCAACAAAAAAAGCCGTGCACACAGCCAAGGGGAATGGGGTTGGTCTTGTGCACCGCACACCTTCGCGCTCGAGCGGACACGTCGAGTGTATACAAGGCTGTGTCAGCGCGTGCTCTGATCGGTAAAGGTGCACAGACCTCTCCCGAATCATCTCCAGCAGAAGTAGTCTCTGAAGCACCACTAACTCGGCCTCCGTTTCCTACGTAAGCTGATATTAGTATTTAAACATTCTTTATGATAAAAAAATGTTTGTGAAAAAAATATTTTAATAACACGGTTTTGGCGGTTATAGAGTTCTAATGGCGGTGTTCAACTATAACAATCATACCCCTTTGTGAATGTACAAAATCTGCTTCACCGTCACTGCTGTCGTCATTGTGTAAAGCCCACCCCAACGTTTCTGATTGGTGCCGCGATTTCGGCGGATTGGAAACATAGACAGTAAAAGAAATGGACAGAGCGATCTCATTGGAACTCCATTGAGACGATTGAAGCCTGTTTTTGGCGATTTTTTAGCACTTCCGTCCCTGACGAATGAATCAGGTATTCTGATTAATTATTTTGTCATTTTGCCTCCATGTTTCCCCGATTGCGTGCAAGCTTCTTCTCCTGTCCACACGGTAATCTCTCTACTGTGCGACAGAGAGTCGCATGGGTATGACGCAATCGTTAGCCTACTTTCACTAATACTGCTTCTACGGGGCCATAACATAAGCTACAAGGTAATGGAGCATTTTATACATTGTTGTGTTTCTTTAGAAATAAATAAAGGACAAATGGGGTCTTTAAACGCCTCAGATTTAATGTTATTCGCTGTCAAAGTGACGCCAAAATGAATTGGAGTCAATGGGAATGCTAACGCAAGTGAAGTTCTGCTACAAGATGGCAGCTCCTGCGAGGCTTCAACTTCCGGTCAATGGATTACCTCCTTGATTGGAAATGGGCTTGAATGAGCTCTTTGCCAGACTAACTTTCAGAGCAAATCTAAATTTGCCAGAAGTTGTCTGGGTTTTCCCAGGCTACCCATACCTAACACACTTCGAAAAATCAAAAACATTTCCAAAAGTGCCCAATCTTCATGATTTTCCTTCCCAGCTACAGGTGTTTTTTTTTGTTGTTGTTGTAAAATGATGGAAGGTAAGTGTAGTGTAAATAAATATATTAAATTAATTCCCATTTTGCCCTGTTTGTTTCCTGTGCCTGAATAGTGTCAGTAGTGATTTATATGCTCACAGATGTACATGCAGGACACCTGAAAGCAATTAGTTAGCATTTTAACACTACCGGTTCCCTCGCTCTCAAGTCTATGGGATTTTTGAATGGGTTTTTGCTAAATCGCCTGAAATAAGGTCTGTGGTGGACAAAGCCTCTAAATATTTTCAAGTTTTGATCACGTTTTATAAACTTTATTGTGTCTGCTTGTGTGTTTAAAACACTTTATATATTCTTCAAAATGTATAAATTTTGGATTAACTTGTAAAGATTATCTTGATAGACAAAACGTGTAAGGGTCACAACAAAATGCATAGCTTTTCGATCGAGGGAACCCATGTGCCGCTAGCTTCCGAGTTGTCCTACAAAGTGACGTTATCACTTCTGTACTCTATTCAGCTAATTCTGAACCTTGGTGTGAATAGGTCTTAAAGTGATCGTTCAACCCTAAATCGTAATTTACTTACCCTCATATTTTTACAAAGCTGTATGACTTTCTTTCTTTTTTGAGGAACATTTTTTTCTCCATACAATGAGAGTCAATGGTAACCAAAACTATTTGATTACCAACATTTTTAAAAATATCATCTTTTGTGTTCATCAGAAAGAAATAAACATCATACATATTTGGAATTAAATGAAGATGAGTAAATGACAAAACCTTTAAATAATCCTTTAAAGATGTTCCTATCTATGTTAATGAGGAAAGACAGTTACCCTACTGATATGTGATCCACATGGGTGGGGACAACGATCAGCCGCAAAGTTCATGCAGGGAACACCTATAGGAGGAGGCCCAAGAATAGACTGCCTGACTCCTCCCTCTAGAAATGCACTTGGCATCAGCTTGGTGTGACTGAGTGACATATCTATTATGATTCAGAAAAGGTTGAAAGACACAGAATATGAGATATTATATGAGGTTATACACAGGGGTTTGTTAACTAACAAATGGTTATATCGTTATAAAACAGTCAAATCTAACACATATTCCCCTGGTTTCAGAGACACGGCTTAAGCCTAGTTCCAGACTAAAATGCATGTTTGAGCAGTTTTAACTAAAAACAACTTGTTTGTTTTATCTCAAGATGCACTAAAGTAATGCTTTTTCTAAGGCACATTTATAAAAGCTACTTAAACGCACTAATTGATCTAAGGCCTAATCCTGGCTAAATGTAAGCCCTGTTTGTGAAACCGGTCCATAGTATAACAGCAGCATACAGGATGAGGGATCTTTTACCTGGCATTGTGTGTATAAGCCCACACTGTTGCAGCATGGGATTATGGCATGGTCTGATTGAAGCAAGAAGGGGAGAAGCACTTGGTGCTGGTGATCTGTTACGCAGGTATTTGGAGAAAGACAATCACATGACAAGGCAATTATTTTGTATTTGATTATTTGTTTTACAGTTGATGCATTCATTAAAAAGCACAAATCCCGGCAATCGTTTAAAGCTTTCAAAGAGATGGCAGTTGCAAAAGGTAATCTGATAATAATTGTCTGGGTGTATCATGTAGTTAAATTTTCCACCAAAATATGAGCCCTTACCTTGTTCCAGAATGCACACGCTTCTGTTGAGACTGCTGAGGAAAACGACAATCAGGCAAATAAGGGAGTGAAGAAAATGGTGCTCCTTGTCCGTGAGGATCTAACTGGGCTTTTCCAGCCATTTTTTGCATGTTCCTCTGCTGCTGCTTAAATTTCTTAAGCTGCTGCTTCTGCTTGATTTTCAGCATTCTTAATACTAAGATACAATTTAATGATCTCAGGTGCCTATTTAAAACAGGGAATGCAAATGAGTATTTATCCAAAGTAACTTAGGCTACATATTAGGAACAATGATGCTGAATATAATGCTGAAAACAGTTGTTTGTTCATAGTGTGTGTTAAATAATTTATTTGAAACATCACTAGCAAACTACCCATGCCTCATCCATATATCTAGAACAATAGTATCATTACTATTACTACGGTAATACTATGGTAATACTATTGTTTCAGACGTGTGGATGATTTATGGGTAGTTTGCTAGTGAGGTTTCAAATAAGTTATATAACACAAATAATGAACAAACAACTGTTTTCAGCATTATATAATGATTTCTGAAGGATCATGTGACACAGAAGAGCAGAGTAATGATGCTGAAAATTCAGGATAAATTACATTTTAAAATATATTCAAATAAAAACAGTTATTTTGAGTTCCTTTAGGATGGAAATTATTTTCATCCACTGTTTATTTTAATGTTAGACATTCTGTTAATCTTGCAAATTGCAATGGTGTAAATAAATAAGCAGTAATACAGTTGAAGTGCCCAGAGCATATTTCTGACATAGATACTTAAAATTGAATACGTTAAATTAAAACACAAGCATATTCATTTTAAAATTTAAGGCTCAAAAGTGTTGCACTTGAAAATAAATGTAAGAAAGTGCACTGCATCTCCTGACATGAGAGACAGGTCTGATACTAGCCTGTGTGAGCTCTGTAAAACCTTGCAACGTACAGCATACATTTCACGCCTGATTTGTGAGTAAAACAGCCTAACAAAAATGTACGAAACAACCCACCTTTTGATATAACAGCCTCAGTGCATCAATGTTTATGGTAGATGATGACTCTTCCTCTGGTGCTGTGCTTTAGACGTTGTAGACATTCAACGCCAGTGCGCCCTCACCCGGCTCGGAAGAAGAATTTAATTGTCAAGAAATGGTATTTGTTTAAAATTTAAAAATGTGTCTTTACACTGACAACCTGTGTGCAATAAAATACATCAGAGAAAATTAAGTAAGCTGACTGATAATACACACAGTCAGCAGGTTGCTATCACAATACACCCTGACACGTAGGCAAAACCATTCAACTTTTTTTTTTTTTTTTTTTTTTTTTTTAGCAACTTTATTTTTGTACAGAGTCAAATTCACATCCTTGGGGTAGTTGAGGACCTTTTTTGTTAATAATGCATGTTTGCAAGCTTGCTTATATTTCATCTTTGAGGTTTTTAAGTTTTTCAACAAATATTATTTTTCCCTTATAAGTCAGCATGCTCTGAATAGACTTTTCTACCCTTTTTCTTCCTTTCTTTCTATCCAAGTGAAACAGCTTCTCTAACACGGAAAACTGTGGGACAGGACTTGATTTTGCCAGTATAATAAATGAAGTATAACTGAAGACTAATAATAAATATAGGCTAACTGGTGCAATGATGATATATTTTTGTAGACAAAAACATTACATTTTGACATTAATCATTTTAACATTCTTACAGTAAATCCGAAATTGAATATAAAATTTCTCCAAAATATTATTCAGTGTAAATTGAATGTGTCCCAGATAGCAGACCAAGAATCAACATTGAATCATGCATTAACCAGGATCATTGAATCAATGTTAAAAACTTAACATATATTTTTCATCAGGTTTGCACCCTGAAATAATGTTATTTTAACGATGAAGAATAGATGGACATAAAATATTTTTTTTTTCAACCTTAAATCACTTATTTAACATTGAATCAACAATATAAAATCAATCTGGCTTTATGTACTGCAGGATTTTATGCCATTTAATTGTCTGTTTTTACTCCTTTCAATCAAAAACAATCTAGGTATGCAATTAATATGGTCTGCGGCTCAAAACGTCTCCCAAACTGTAAAAAATGATTGTGATTTTAATGGTAAAAGACTGTAAAAATGCTACAGTGAAAAACTGTTAATTGGAAAGTTTCCATAAACACGGTAAATAACTGTGATAATGGTACATTTAATGTAATTCTACTGTAAAATACAGTTAAATTTACAGTTTTTGGAAGTGCAAAAGAACAAGTCATTGTATAAATTTACAGTGAAAAAAATGTAAATTGACATTCCCACAATTCTCTTCATGACACTTCAAAAATGTATATTTTTTTCTCTGTTTCTTCATAATTTTCTTAGTTTTTTGTTCTTTTTTTCTAATCACAGGGTTTTATGTTGCATTTAATGTTATCAAATATGCTTATGGCATTTTTTAATTAATGTTTGTGTGAATGACACCATGTAGCTTCTAAATATTAGTATTCATTTGGAAGAGCTCGATGTTGAGCTTTGATTGATCATTTAACTCTCATTACTGCTGTGATTATTGGCTGTCAGTGTATGGAACAAAACAAATATTAATACTTCAAAAGGTAAGTACATTAACATTATATCACATGAAATATGGTTTATAGCTGGATTTTTGTTTAAACTTTAAAAAGTTTTTAAAAATATTTAAAGTTTCAACTTTAAACATTCAGTTTACATGCAAATGTTTTTATTTATGACCACACACTGTTTGAACAGGAATTCATCACATTCACATACAGTATATGTTGCCTATATAGGAATTCCTGTCCTATAGGCAACATCTTCCATTATTATACCAAAAGTCATTTTTTGAAAATGAAGATATTACATTTTTAGCCACTCATGTCAAACAAAAAGGTTATACTAATTATAGTCAAAAAACAAATGTACTCTTGTTTTAATTTCAGAATCACAGAAAGTTCAATTATTGTGATTCATATGTGATCTATCTAAGAAGTTCTATATGGGTAGATATCGTTCCTAAGCTTTGGGAAGTAGCATAGATATTAATACATAGTTCTTAATTTATTAATATAGCTCTTGGGAATAAATTAAGTCACATTATTTTGACTAACTTGATTTGGAAATGTGTCTTGTGTTAGTAAAATTTGTATTAACTTGTTGAATGAAAAAAATCCAGTCTATTTATTTTTAAAGATGGTAGATGAAGAACTTCAGTTACATTGGGCTCTGTTTCTAACCAACAGAGCTGGAATACAATTCAAAACCTTGTGATATTGTTTATAATCAGACCGAAAATTATACTTCTCACAGAAAGTGTTGTGAAATTATCACACACATTGGAACGGTAATTTCAGAATGCAATGCGCCCCCAGTGGCTGGAGACGGTATCGCAGCATCCAGAGCATCATCACCGCATCGCTCCCGCAGATAGTGGTGAAAAGAACAGGCTGGGAGCAGCGCGTACAGAGGACGCATGTCCATTCGTCAAGGTGCCTGCAAAATTAAAGGAAACGCAGAAAAGGGCAGCTTTAGATATTGCGAGGCCTGCAAATTAGGTCTCAGTTCAGGGTCAATTAGGCTAGGACATAATTTTTAGTCACTGTGAAATAGAGCCTATTTATTTCACACGATGGGCAATCGGGGAATGGAGGACTTGATTCCTCTGGTAAACAGACTGCAGGATGCTTTCTCTGCCATCGGACAAAATGCCAACATGGACCTTCCTCAGATCGCGGTGGTCGGTGGCCAGAGTGCTGGGAAAAGCTCGGTATTGGAGAACTTCGTTGGGAAGTAAGTGACTGATGACATAGATGGACACCGTCCATCATCACTCTACTACATCCACCGTGACATCCACTATCCCTGTATCATTAATTGCTCTTTAACGGGACACAAGCATTTTCAGTTATCACACAGGCTATAATGCCTGTGTACCAAAATCAATGTTCATGTATGATAATATAGAGAGAATGTTATTAATGTCAGTGAATCTCATCTGTTTTTAGGCAGGTTACGCTTTTAAAAAAGGATATTTTGTTATACATTGATGCTTAACTGACAAAATAAATGTTTTTTACCATGACTTATTTCATGTAAAACTTAATGTAAAACATGCAAACTTAACTCAGTCTCTCGAAATGGACAACCGACATGGCTGACGTGTGTGTCCTCGAGAGGCCATCATACTAGCGAGCTTCCTATCTTCACCAAACAACAGCATTCTTGGGCATCATATGCGCGAGCGAGTTTATGTAAGGAAGAGAAATTATCTTTGTGTGAAGTGTTGTGTTTATATTTTAATTCACAGGCTAGATTGACAGATACGTATCAGATAATGTTATTACGTTTCCATTAGTTTTCATGGTTTGGTTGAAGATAAACATGAAAAGGCATTCAGAGGCGGCCGTGATAAAAGGCCAAGGTTTAATGTTCACCGGTAGTTGGAATCGTGTGTCAGAGGGTCACATGTGAGCCACAGGACTATTTTCCTTGTTTTTTGTTTTCTGTTCACCTTAGTCAAAATCTTTGAGGAATGCTAATGAAATTGTGTACATAAATTGGAACCAATATTATTAGGACAAAATAACAATCCTTTAAAGTGATAGTTCACACAATATGAAAATTCTGACATCGTTTACAAACCACCATGTTGTTCTAAACTTGTGATTGTACTTTTTCTTTCTTTTCTTTATACAATGAAAGTGAATGGTGACTGAAGCTGTCATTCTGCCTTTTGTGTTCCATGGAAAAAAGTCATACAGAACAACATTAGGTGAAGGGTGAGGCGAGAACTCAAATGCAGAGCCCTGGGCTTTGTATTAAAAATAAAACAAAAACAAACAAAATCTACTCCGTGGGGGAAAAGAAGACAGACAACTAGACAGAGAGACTTGGCAGTATAATGACACATGAGGGTACTTTAGGCCCTGTTTACACCTGGCATTACCCGTTTACACCAGGTGTTTTAAAATTTAAATCATCACTTTTGTCCTCTTTCAACCACGTCTGTCCTGATTTCTTTGAGGGGAGGGTAAATGTATGTTGTTGGGGTTTTTTTCGATCTAATGGAGAAAATAGAAAATATGCTCGCACAGTTTACATATGAATGTAAAAGGAAATGATAAAAACAACAACAACAACAAAAAGACTGACTTCAAACCAAATTTGGGTCTTTAGCCGACAACGTTTAAATCCTGTCAGCAGGTGGAGAAAATGTGTTTTTTGTGGCTTTTTAAAAAAATTCGACCACATGAGCGTTTACACTACGAAATCAATCCGATCGAATGCATTTTTTGTCTACTTCTGGAAGTGGTTGAAATTGGACAAGCTCAAAACGGTTTAGACCCTGTTTATACCTGTATTCAGCATTGGGATCCAAATGACCAAAACACATCTTAAAGAGTCACTTCACCTATTTGCATTAAGCTTTGTATCTTTAGAAACCCAGTCATATTTTTGAATGGTCATGGTTTATTCCCTTATTTTCCCCTGAGATGGGAGAAATAAGGATTTACTGTAAGTGTTTTACTTCCTGCTTATTGTGACGTGAAAATCGTCATTTTGCGTCATGATAAGCAGGAAGTCATGTTTCATTAAAATCTGTAAAACTACAAATATTAGCTCATTATTATTCCAGGGTGTGGGACCCACTCACTCTACAGGCCTATAACAGTCAATATCCGCCATCTTGTCTGAAAGCTTAGCTAACAAGCGTCGTGGAGATAGTAAGTTATGACAATGACGGAAGAAACGAAACATGATATGGAAGAAGAGGATTTTGAAGTTCTGCTGCTCGAATCCGATGTTCGTGACTATCTTTACGAGCCACAGTGTAGTTTAGAGCTGCTGAGGCTGATGGAGGAGCAGGAGGTGGCTGCCTGTCGGTCGAGACGCCCGGACTGGGTCGAGCTGAGCGGTCTGCTGTTGCATGTGTTCTCGCTGCGTGCTACGGACACAGTCCGTATGCTGCAGAGAATTTCAACGATGGCAATTTCTCCTGGAGGAAATCTCTGAATCAGACGAGCACACAGACGTTTGTGTTGTGAAAGTTTCGCCTAACAGAACATCCAGGGATCAAGCAGT